AATTGCAATCTTTGCTTCCATACAAACACTGGTTCGTTTTTATAAATTACGTCCCTTAGAGCCCGTTTAATAATCATTTTAGCTTTCAGTTTCAGGTTTTAATTTATAGCTTTATTTTAAAAAATGAAAACAAGAAACTTGTTTGGAAACGGGAGTACAATGCATGTTTTGTGATATAAAATTGATTCAATCTTTGCCTTAACATATCTGACGCAGGGCATGGTTGGATTAGCAATATCAGTGAAATTGCCACAGCTACGCCCACCTCACTGTGACACTACTGCCGCCACCAACCACTGCAAAGAAGCCAATGGATTCCAAATGGGAATTCTTTACCTTGCTTTATACATAATCGCATTAGGAATCGGCGGCCTGAAATCAAGCGTTTCGGGTTTTGGAACCGACCAGTTTGATGAAAAAGATGACAAGGAGAAAGCCCAAATGTCCTATTTCTTCAATAGGTTCTTCCTCTTCATTAGCACAGGAACTCTGGTGGCAGTCACGGTCCTCGTCTACGTACAAGATGAGGTCGACAGGAGTTTGGCCTATGGAATATGTTCGGTTTCTATGTTTATAGCCATCGTAGTATTTTTTGCAGGGACGAAAAGATACAGATATAAGAAGAGCTCGGGAAGCCCCATTGTTCAAAATTTCAGGTTGTTGTGGCTGCTATAAGAAAGAGAAAGATGAAAGCTCCGCTTGACATTGCCTCACTGTACGAGAATAATCCTGAGGCTTCGAGAATCGATCACACAGATCAATTCCGGTAAGTTTACTTTGTACGAAATGATTAAGTAAATTTTTTCAAGGTTGTCTGTTGTCAGATATGTGATGAAATGTTATGTTTGAGTTTGGATAGTTTCTTGGACAAGGCTGCCGTTGTGGTGGAAGGAGATTTTGAGGAGGGAGATGCTACGGGATCTAGTACCGCGAAGCCTTGGAAGCTACGGACAGTTACAAGGGTGGAGGAGGTCAAAATGATGGTAAGATTGCTTCCAATATGGGCCACAACCATCATGTTTTGGACGGCATACGCGCAGATGATCACCTTCTCCGTAGAACAAGCGTCCACCATGGAGAGATCAATCAGAAAATTTCAAATCCCGGCTGGCTCTCTCACTGTCTTCTTTGTGCTAGCCATAATGATCACTCTTGCTTTTAACGACCGTGTCATCATGCCTCTTTGGAAGAAATGGAATGGCCAACCAGGTATACAAATATACACGAAAACAAAAATACTAATGGTCAGTAGCGGATTCAGAAATTTTTCTGTGCAGAGTCAACGTGTAACACCTCCCAAAATTTTGTAACAAAACTCCCTTAAAATTAAACCATAGTATTTCATTAGTGATTCATGGAACCAATTGCATTACTTGAAAAACATTCTCTTTTGTGCCATAGGTTTCACTAATCTACAGAGAATTGCAATCGGCCTTGTCTTATCAACTATCGGAATGGCAGCAGCAGCGCTATCTGAGAGGAAGAGGTTATCTGTGGCTAAATCTGCACGCAGCGCCACTGGAACTCTGCCTATTAGCGTGTTCTTGTTGATCCCACAGTTCTTCCTGGTGGGTTCTGGTGAAGCTTTCATATACACTGGGCAGCTCGATTTCTTCATAACCAAGTCACCCAAAGGAATGAAAACAATGAGCACCGGCCTCTTCCTCAGCACTTTGTCCCTCGGTTTCTTCGTTAGTAGCCTATTGGTTTCGATCGTGAAGTCAGTGACAGGAAACGAAGATGGGCAAGGATGGCTTGCAGACAACATAAATTATGGGAGGCTTGATTGTTTCTATGGACTATTAACTGTTCTAAGTGTGATCAATTTCGTAGCTTATCTTGTTTGTGCAAGGTGGTCCCACAAGACTCACAAACAGCATGCATTTGTTTTGCAGATGGCTTCTGCTAATGGTGCATAACTAATATGATTTGTATGTAATTCCAGCAAATGAAGTATCTTCCCCTAGCTTTGATGTGTAGTTCAGCTTGCGTAATCATTCATTACCCTTGCTCTTGTCGTTAAGAAGAAAATATCTTCTAGATATTATATGTATCATTGATTCACTTAGGGTTTTGATAGGGATGGTTATGATTTAGGGTTGGTTGTTTTGGGCTGTGTGGGCTCGGATGTGAGTTATGTTAATTTTTGTGTTATGAATTTTTTTAGTTGGTAGTTATTTGGAGTTATTATTTTCACGTTATGTTAAAATTTATGTCTTGTACATGTCTTTGATGTACTGTTAAAGTTGTTTTAATGAATACTGTATTTCTTAAAAAAAAAAAATGTACATGTTTGATAAGAGATTTCTTGCTTCCTCAGTAGTTCTTCGATGCCATAATCATAGAACAGAAATGAATTAAAAATGAAAAAAAAAAAAAAACCAAAAAAGATGTTCGGCACAATCCACTGAAATTGTGGAATTTATTAGGCACCCATTAACCGAACATATTGGTTGGTTTCGGTAGACTATTGCTGAACATGAAGAAAAAAAAATGATAAATTTATCGTTCCGACTGTGGCATGAACACTACAGATTATTTCTTACATGAAAACAGTCGTACATGAATAATGCCGAGTTTTCTTCAGGAGGCGGGAAATGAGCTCGATTGTTGTTGCAGATGCTGTGGACTACAAAGGGCACCCGGCTGACAAGTCCAAAACCGGTGGTTGGCTTTCCGCAGCGCTTATAACGGTTGTGTACATGTTCTTACCTTCTTGATTGCAGCATTGATTTTGATCGGTGATTACTACGATGCGAACACGATGAAGTATAAGATTCAAACAAAATTTGCAGTTATGATGGTGAGAAATTATAATTTCGATTATTTGTTTCTTTGTAGGGGTCGAATTCTGCGGAAGGCTTTCGACAAAGGGAATAGCAGTGAACCTGGTGACATTCCTAGGTGGAACAATGCATTTGCCTAGTGCAACTTCAGACAACATGCTAACAAATGCAGTAGGCACATACTTCTTCCTGTGTTTGGTTGGCTGCTTAATCGCCGATTCCTTCCTTGGCAAATACAAAACTCTTGCAAACTCCGCTGCAATACAAGCACCGTTAAGTTATCCGGTCTAATCCAATCCTAACCGCCAAACGTGGCCTTGATCCTAAATACTTCACAAATGTCATACTCCGGTGCATTGCGATATTAGCAATATCAGCAAAACTGCCACAGCTGCACCCACCGCCTTGTCGCCTGAGCGCCAGCTACTGCAAGCAAGCAAACGGATTCCAAATGGGGGTTTTTTTACCTTGGTTTGTATACAATGTCAGTAGGTATTGGTGGCCTGAAATCAAGTGCTTCAGGTTATGGAAGCGACCAATTCAACGAGAAAGACAAGAAGGGGAAGGCTCAAAGGGCCTACTTCAACAGGTTTTGTCCTCTTCATCGGCTTTGGAACTTTGATCGCATTCACAGTCCTCGTCTACATACAAGACGCTGTGGATCAAAGCGTTGTGCACAGAATATGATCCATTACAATGCGTAGAGCAATCTTAGTGTTTTTGGGTGGGACTAGAAAATACAGATATAAGAAAAGCTTGGGAAGTCCCATTGTTCACATCCTCAAGGTTATTGTGGCTGCTACGAGGAAGAGAAAGATGTCCTTTTGCTTACGACTTCGCCTCTTTGTAAGAAAACTACCCTGTGGATTCAAGAATTACACACAGAGACGAGTTCCAGTAAGTTATAATTAATTAGTACTTTCAATCATAGGAAATTAACTAAATAAACAGTAGTAATTTTCAATTAACTTTTCGATATGTAGCTTCCTGGACAAGGCAGCCATTGTGGCTGAAGAAGATTTTGAGGAAAGCTCTTAGAAGTTAAGGTCAGCTACAAAGGTTGAGGAGGTAAAAATGGTGATAAGACAGCTTCCAATATGGGCAACAACCATCATATTTTGGACTAGTTATGCACAGATGATGACCTCTGTACAAGCAGCATCCACCATGGACAGGTCGATCGGAAATTTTCAAATCCTACTGGCTGGCTCTCTCACCGTCTTCTCTGTACAAAAATTAATGTTGCTAAATAAGGCTGTGAATTTAGACTGCACGTACGTAACGTTATTTCTAAATGAAGACTCATTTTTTTCTGCTTGCAGTGCAACAATACAGGCTTCACAAAACTGCAGAAAATGGCAATTGGGCTTGTACTAGCAAATATTGGGATGGGTGCAGCAGCACTAGGTGAGAGGAAGAAGTTAGCGGTGGCAAAAACCAACGGAGGATTGAGTCCTTTGCCGATTAGGGTTTTCTTGCTCCCTCAATTTCTTGCTGGTGGGTGCCGGTAACGCTTTCACGTACACCGGGCAGCTCGATTTCTTGGTTTTGTCGTTAGCACGGGCCTCTTCGTTAGCTCCTTATCCTTTGGTTTCTTCTTCAGCAGTCTCTTGGTTTGGATTGTTACTAAGGTGATAGGAGGCAACAATGGGGGATGGCTTGCAAAAACCATAAACCCGGGGAGGCTTGACTGTTTTTATGGGACTTTTAACCGTTCTCGGCGTCATCAACTTCAGTGCATATATTTGTTGTGCAAGGTGGTTCAAGCCACGAAAACTCACACCACCACCGGATTCTGCTGCTAGTGGCGGTTCCCCTGCTGAGGAAGATAAGTGCTAGTAGTAAAAAAATCAGTGTACCCATATATAGAGTTGGGAATTTAGATTTTTACATTCGTTTTCCTCCCGGAATTTAAGTTCAGGGAGTAATATATGAACACCTGTTTTACTTTTATGAGAACAAGCAATATGTAGGAGCATAGAATGTCCTGAGAGAGAACCCAACAACAATTTGAGAAGAAATCTCAAGTCCAACCATTTCACCGAATGAAGTAATACCGCCTCTTTCGGCCAATTTTATTGCTGCAAGTTATACAGCGATCAAAGAAATCGGAGAACGACAGCTATAAAATTGGTGTTCAACCAAAACAAAATTGGGCAGGCATTCAACTGAGTAGAAGCAAAATACAAGAGCGAACCGGCAAACATAACACAGTAAGAATAAAGCACATTAATATTGATTTACTCAATGAGTTTAAGCTCTCTTTGTAAACTAATTACGAGTCTGAGAACATTTATAATTTCCTACTCATAAAGATAAATTGCCACAATGCACGGCGATGATCAAACATCAAACCCCCCGGTAATTGAAATTGACCGCAGCTAAATTGAACTATTCGATATAAAAACAAAAATATGACCAAGAACAAAGAGCAAGTAAAACACAATTATCTAACACCACATACCCCCAAACAATAGCTGCTAACTCGGACCAAGTAACAAGCTTTCCATTTCCTTCCTCGATTATCTTTGATCTAATTCGCTATCTCCATATTTCGCACTCACAGTGTTGAATTTATCTGTTTGAAAATCAATCCTTAGTCTCACTCTTCTTTCCGTTCCCTTCTCCGTCCCTCTCCTCCAACAACCTACCGGCCTCCACATTGTTCTGTTGAGACTTCCTCTGCGCCTCGGCCGCCTTAAGCCCCTGCAATTTGGCATGATTGTAGTACGCAACACCGCCAAACGCAATCAGGTACCCCATCAAATTGATAGGTGTCACGGTATCCTTGATCACAGACCACGAAAATGCAATCAAAAGCCAATCTTTGACAACCCCAGCAACATTCATAGTCAAAGCAGATGTCTTTCCCACTAACAGAAACACCGCCAGATTCAACGCAAATGCGCACAGTGAATTTGTCCCAAAAATCACGAAATCAAAGTGAAAACTCGAGGTCTGCCTCAACACCGGCAGCTCAACAATGACCCACGGCACGCACAAGAAGACGAAACAACACGGCGCAACATAGTAAAGTGAAGTAATCGGATTCAAGCTAATACCCTTAGCATTAAGCAGAATCTGAATCAGAACCAACCTCGTGGCCTCGAACGCCACGGCCAACAGCTGCAATGTGACTCCCCATGAGTTGAATTTCGCCTCCCCGTAAGCCGCGATGGCAACGCCAACGGAGATGGAGACCATGTTGAGCATGGTGTCGCTCTTGAAGGCGTCCTTTTTGAAGGCGACGCCGATGGAGTAGACCGCGACGGGCATGAGGGCCTTGAGCATCTGGATGAAGGAGACGGAGAGGAAGATGTAGGCGGAGTTGGAGAACCAGAGGGAGAGGGCGTAGAGGGCGCCGATGGGGACGACGGACTTAAGGTAGAGGTCGCGGGACATGGAGACGGCGTCGACGAGGCGGAGGACGCGGACGAGGAGGAATGCGAGGGAGGAGCAGAAGGCCATGTGGATCATGGTGAGGGAGATGGGAAACGGCCAGTTGTACATTTTCCGGTCGAGGATGTACTTGTTGTAGACGATGACGGTGAAGGAGAGGAAGATCCAGACGGAGACGTAAGCGTAAGAAAGGAGGACCTTCTTCACCACCCCCTCTGAAAGCGCCATTTTTTTGAAATCTGAAAACCCTAGCCCTAATTTGGGGGTTTGGTTAGATTGGATCTGAAATCTGAAAACCCTAACCCTAGATTAGGGTTCTCAGAGGACTGAGATTTGAACAAGGAGGAGACTCTTTCTCTCTCTAAATCTCGTTCTCTCACTAAAATGACTCAGTGTGGAAGGGGGAAGAGTGTTGGAGGAGGAGTTGCTGTCGGATTAGATCTGTGGAATATGGGCTTTTTGATAATTTAGGTGGGATTTTGGTATTCTGGAACATGAAATACTATAACAAATTTGTAGATGTTTTACCGGTTATTAACAACACTTTCCAGAGAAAAATATTATAGTGTCTCAAAAACCAAGATTCTAAAAATCACTAGGGCAGTAGTCGGGCGTTAGGCAAGGGTTTAGTGCCTAGGTGAATTTATGTAAATTTATTATATATCTTGTAAATAAGTGCCTATTTATATCTAAAAAAAAAACTATACTTGTATGAATAATAAAAAATGATAAAATACAAAATAGAAGTAGAAGAATACACAAATTATATACATCCAAAAAGTTCAATATTTAAAAATAGTAAGCATATAATCATAATGAGGAGGATTTGGATGATAGACTAAATTCTTGTTGTTCATGAATCATGATCCTTGTATTGGATTACACATAGACTAAATTATTTAACCATGTTGTATTTAGTTTATTTCTTTTCTTTGTATGTATCCCCTCAAAAGTGCTCCAATTTGTTTCACTATTGGATGAACTTGTAGTAAATCCATAATTTGCAAATTAGGTACACCATTTCCATAAGTATACCAGCATGAAACCAAAAAAGAAAAAAGCACACAATTAATAAACAATATATTAAAAAAAACTGCTTAGGACCGCCTAGGTGCCGCCTAGCTTCCAGCCGATTTTTCCAAACGCCTTGCCCAAAATCGGGACGGGGTTCCACCGCCCAGTGCCTAGGCAGCCGCCTAGGCCGATTTTTAGAATAGTGCTCAAAACCAATAAGACAATGTATTCAACTAATGACGTTTTATCACAGTGATAAAATCAAGGGTAAAGTATAAAAAACTACCTCAACTATTAGTCTCAAGATACTTTGATACCTCATCTTTTAAAAAGACAATGTCATACCTCATCTTACGAATTTGTGCCAATGTCAGACCTCCGTCAGTTTTTCTGTTACTTTTTCTGTTAAATGTTGACGTGGCCAGAGACAGAATCCACTCACTAATCCAACTGGATTAAAAAAATAAAAAAATATTCAAAAATAAAAAAACAGTTAAAAAATTAAACAAATAAAAAAGGCCTAGGGATGCGGGCCTTCATTTCTTCCACCCGCACCAACCCTTCTCTATTTTTTCTCTTTATCTTTTCCCGCATCTTTCTCCCATTCTAACTCCCTCTTCTTTCTGCAACCATCGATGCCGAGGATGAGAACAACAGTGGGAACGAGGGGAGGGTTTGAAGGCGAAGAGAACGGAGGTGGGAAGGAAATGAGGGTTTTAACAGCCAAGAGGAAGAGGAAATTGAGAGGTCGAGAGAAGGAGAGAGGTTGGAGGAGGTGTGGGTCGACGGCAAATTAGACGGAAGAGAGAGGCTAGAGGAGGGATCTGGGTGTGGGTTTGGTATATGGCGTACGAACTCGACCCACTATTCTCGTTCAGAGCCAAAAATGCCTCTTTTATCATCTGCAAACAAAATTCGCAGCCAAAATTCAAAACCCATAAGCAAAAGGTGGTGGAGAAAATAAAGAAACCATGATCTGAGATCACGAATCCAAGTACCTGAAAGTATGGAGGATGAGCGGCAGTTTTGGTGGGCTGTTGTGGCTTCCTCTCTTTCGAAGTCCTGGGTTTCGTCTCTTAATCGGCTTTTCTTCCTTCTTGGGCTCCTCCGTCGCCGGAGCACTCATTGGTCACGGGACAGAGGAGGGATGGGTCGGGTTGGGATTTTTATGGTGGGAGCAATATGTGGCCGGGTTGGGTCGGGTTGGGAGGTGGTGGTGAGGGAAAGACGAGTGCGGGTGGGGAGAGGGACAGAGGAGGGAGATCAAATCCCAGAGAGAGAGAGAGAGAGATAGAGGGTAGTGGAGGAAGGTTGGGGGAACGAGGAAGGGTTTGGTGGCTGTCGAAGAGAAGAAGAAAAAGGCTTGGTGCGGGTGGAAAGGAAGGCTGGATCCCTTGGGCCATTTTTAATTTTTTTTAGTTTTTTAATTTTTAATTTTTTAATATTTAATTATTAAAAATATATTTTTTTTTACTTTTTTAATCCAGTTGGATTAGTGAGTGAGTCTCATCTTTGGTCACGTCAGCATTTAACAGAAAAAGTAATAGAAAAACTAACGGAGGTCTGATATTAGCACAAATTCGTAAGATGAGGTATGACTGTCATTTTTAAAAGATGAGGTTATGAAAGTATCTTGAGACCAATAATTGAGGTAATTTTTTATACTTTATCCTAAAATCAATTATTTTTATTCACTTTAGTACGAGTTGGATTCCTAGGATTATCTTCTTTTCAAAAAATAATTATTTAAGTTACTATTGTTGTTGTCATCTGAAAAAATACGTTTTCACATAATAAAATCTTATTTGTTAACATTTGGTATTGTGTTATTTGTTATGTCTTCTGTATTAATTTGGAGACACTTGTTCACATAAATGTATTAGTCATGGTATAAGAGTTTATTTTAATCTAGATACTTTTTTTTTTTTCTATTGAATTGGGTTCGTTTAGAAGTAATCATACTCTTTGTAAAGATCTATACATAAAAAATAGTATTGTTCTTTACTGTTCCACACAATATCTTAATAAAATGTTAAAATACAAATTTTAGACATGTGCTCAGAGATGACCAAGTTAAGATATTGTTTATCATTTCTCTGAAGTACCATACGTATCAAAACTCAAAAAAGAGTTGTTATCTACACGCATATTTTTATTTTTTACACACTTATTTTTTAATTTTGTCATTTGATATTCTTCAATTTATTTATTAGAATGATAAAAAATTGAGTATGAAAGATAAAAAAATGTGTGCGAATAATACAACGCATATAAAAAAAAATTGTTTTGTTAAATTTATAATCAATGATCTACTGACCAAAATTAAATAGTAGAATTTCTTAGTCTTGAATGTCCTCAATCTTTTGCAGGACAATGCAGTTAATTTTTTGACCATTACAACCCCGTTTGATGGACAGGATGAGATGTATTATTTCCAATTAATTTAGACTGGAAAATAACGCATTTTGTCGTCCATCAAATGGGATGAGATGTGTTATTGCCAATGTTTGATTAAAAAAAAAGGTAAAATGGACTGGATTTGGATACAAGTTCATCTCCGTCTCCGGCTCTCACAATCTTTTTCTTTTGCTCAATTTCTTCTCCTTGGTTGTTATCCTTTCGTTGGATTTGGCCTTCGATCATCTTTTCGGTCTACTTGTTCGATTGCCGGTGTTCATCTTTTTCGTTTTGGTCAGCGTTCTTGTTCGATGCCTGCCAATTAGCTAAGCTAGCAGTCCCGTATCCCAAGAGAGAGGATAGAGATGTTTGTATGGTTGTTGACCAACAGAAGAGCTGTTCTGCGTTTATCTATCCCAACCTATCCAATTTGATTGTTTACACCAAATATTAAATACGTATCTCAACCTATTTATTCTAATCCTAACCTAACCAGTTTAAAATTCAGTATCCTGTCATGTTTAGCCCACCAAACGCGCTTGCATGTTTCAGATCAAAGACTTTCGAAAGAAGAACATGGTGACATCAAATGGGCCTTGAGGTTGCAAATTGTGTAATCCCAAAGCAGTGAGGGTGGCCTTGAGGTTGCAATAAATCTATGGTTTTGGCAGTCACTCTCTACTAACAATGCTTCTGGCCATTTCCGCTTGAATTAAGTTAAAAAAAAAATCCTAATCGGATATGATTGCAAAAGAAAAAATAAACAGAAAAATATTTCATTGTTTTAAAAGTTACACAGAGACGGTTATAATGGTTAAAATTCATATTAAATTAAAATAACATATTATTGTTACGCCGGCAGGCCGGCGGACAGCCAGGCAGCCGTGAGGCATTTTCCGGCGATATTTTCTATTTGCGTAGGGTAGTTCTAATTTTCTAAAAAAAGCCGTACACAATCATGATTGAAACAAAATTGTGTTGTATGAATAAATATGGCTATGATGTATGCCTCCACATAATAGGGTGCAAATATTTATTTTTCCAGCTAATTTAGCTTACTTTCTGGAGTCTGGCCATTTATTGACCGCCGCGTGTTGATTCTTCTTAAATAGTAACATGGTTCTAACTTCTAAACTTTACTTCCAAGGAATATATTTCTGTATCAATACCCGTATTCTGCGAGTTACACTTGTCATTCGTTTTTAATTTGTTCACCTAATAGTGCATAATTAGATTAAAAGATCACAATGATATATACCATTGAATATAAGTCTGTAACTTAGTTAAATACCGTCACAATAACATTTCGGCCGACCGTGTTAGAGTTGACTTGCCACAATCCGCACTGCTGAAAGTCGCTCAAGAAAAGAGTGCTGGATGCCTTCCAGTCCCTCTCACGTTTCTCCCTCCTGCAATCACATTCTCTCAGAATCTCATTGTCTACTGCACACCCACTAAACCGAAAAATTAATCACTTACTATATTGTATTCATTCATTCCGTGAACCCCACCAACCACCTCTCTCTCTTTCTCTCTCCTCAGCACGGATCCCCTATCCAGGCGCACTTCCCCATATCCTCCGCCGCCCAAACCCAAACCCCCCAAATGAAAAAAGCTTCCATCTTTCTCCTCCTTCTCAGCTGAATAAATCTTGGGTTTGTCTTCTTCTTTCTTGCCGTGAACTTGGTCGCCGGCAATGGAGACCAACAAGCCACAGAAGAAAAAGAAATGGTTTTTACCGTTGGTGCTTTCACTTCTTCTCTCCACCCTTCTAATATTCATCACTGTTTTCACCTCTTCCAACGCCTCCTCCTCAAGGTTTTCCCGACCCCATGTGAAAAATCATCTCCCCCATTTCGTCGAATCGAAGCTAAAGATTTCGGAAACATCCAAAGACCCAGTTCCTAGATTGGCCTACTTGATCTCTGGCTCCGCCGGCGACGGCAGCAGCTTGAAGCGGACGCTGAAGGCGCTGTACCATCCGAGGAACCAGTACGCGGTGCATTTGGACCTCGAGGCGTCGGCGGAGGAGCGGCTGGACTTGGCGAAGTTTGTGAAGGAGGAGCCGATGTTTGTAAAGCTGGGGAATGTCAGGGCGGTTCTGAGGGCCAATTTGGTGACTTACAGAGGGCCGACGATGGTTACCAATACGCTGCACGCGGCGGCGATTTTGTTAAAGGAGGGCGGCGACTGGGATTGGTTTATCAACTTGAGCGCTTCTGATTACCCTTTGGTGACCCAAGATGGTAAATTAAAATTTACAGCATTTTAATAGCAAAATGTATTTTTTTGGCTTTCTGATTCTTCTACCGCTATTTTTTCTGCTTTGGGTAATTTATGAATTTTGTTTCTAAATTCCTGCTAATTTTGGTTAAGCATTGGATTTTGCTATATTTTCTGTATTCTTGCATTGGATTTCTTGGTTTCTCAGGCTTATTTTGGCAGCTGCAAAACAGTTTGTATAACTTATTTATTACTGCTTTTGGTTTTGGCAGACGTGGGTTAGGCCAGTTGGCGAGGATAATGTGCCTGCCCTTTCCCTTCCCCGTAAATTAGGGTAATAGAAAATTATATTGCCTTGTCACAAAAATGGTTACTGCTTTTGCTCATTGCTAGCTGTACTGAGAAGCATTCAGATAGTTGAGGGAGGGGGTAGGCCTTGTAGTTTCGTTTGTGATCTCTGGCGTTCATTCAATCCGTTAGTTTTTGTGCTTTTATTTCGTTGAATATAGAGTAGTGGTTAAATGAATAAGCTTCATTGTCGTATCCTAACACCTTAATTTACGTGTTTGTCCAACAGATTTGCTTCATGTCTTGTCATCCATTCCAAGAAATCTTAATTTCATTGAGCACACCAGTGACATTGGCTGGAAGGAGTATGTTCATCTTTCCTTATTTCGGAGTAATTTTTAAGTTTTGGTCAAGTTCGAAAGTAGGACACACTGATATGTATAGCTGCTCCTAAAAGGTTTAAATTCCATGAACCCCACAGGGACCAGAGGGCAAAACCCATTATAATTGATCCGGGGCTGTATAGCCGGCAAAAATCAGATGTGTTCTCGATTTCACAGAAAAGGAGCGTGCCGACTGCTTATAAGCTGTTTACAGGTGAAAATATCTGCTTCCACTGCTTCTCATTTTGTTTCCTACAGCTACTTAATGGTTATTGATCTTTCGCAGGATAGAATGCAAAAATATCATCTACTAAAAGAATTTCTGCATAACTTGGTAAACACGATATTTTAACTAAGCATGGGATTAGACACCAAGTATGGTTTAAGAGAAGTTTAAACTATTTTTTAGCACGTATCTGGTTGATGGTCTGGAAACGTGTTATATCTTATATATTACTTTCAAAGAAGAAAGTGCACTGCTTATGGTGTTCTGGAACACAGGTTTCATAGCAACTTCCTTCTAAAAGTTTACGAATCTGAGTTATGTGAATGCACCTCCGAATCATAGGTTGTGAGTTCTTTTCGTTTGGTATATTCTTTATTGCTCTGTTCGGCTTGGTCGAATTGATTTGTTCAAGTTTAAACCCTAAGTCCCTCTATACATATAACTTATAGCTGATTCTGGATTCTGCTCAACAATTTCCTCAGGCTCTGCTTGGATGATGCTCTCCCGTCCTTTTATCGAATATATTTTATGGGGCTGGGACAATCTGCCAAGGATAGTCCTTATGTATTATGCCAACTTCCTTTCTTCACCAGAAGGGTATTTCCACACTGTCATCTGCAATGCTGAGGAGTTTCAGAACACTACTGTGAACCATGATCTCCACTTCATATCTTGGGACACCCCCCCAAAACAACATCCACATTTCCTCGTTGGTGATGATTTCCAGCGTATGGTAGACAGTAATGCGCCATTTGCCAGGAAATTTGGGAGGAACGAGTCAGTTCTTGACACGATTGACTCAGAGCTTTTAGGCTGCAGTGCTGATGGATATGCACCAGGTGGATGGTTCAGTACTCAAGCAAATGGAAGTGCGACAGTTCCAGATTACAGTTCTAAAAACATCACCACTCTCAGGCCGGGTCCAGGTGCTGAAAGACTAAAACGTCTCATCACCGGTTTGATATCTGCAGAAGATTTTCATGCGAAACAATGCACCTGACACCCGGAATCCAGATAAACGACCATGTTAGTCCTATAAGTTATACCAAGTAAGTGATGCCGACGATTGATCTTAGTTCATAGTAATAATGGCTGACAAGGGCATTTTAGCAGGCTATAGGTACTTAGTGGGGAAGACAAGTCAATACCTACAAGCATATAAATATGTATATTTTACCAATTTACCATATCTGGTAATGTTCAATACAATATTCTTCTAGTTGAAAAGCTGAAGGTGTACTGTAATGTATTATACAGTTTACATAATGATAAGTTCTTGAGTCATGCTTGATTAATTTCTCTGAATCAGGTTCGAGAATCGAACAATTTACAGAAGGAGTTGAGCGTATTAACCATTTCTTCTGCTGTGGATGACAGAGATCACCAACAAGGAATTCTTCGGCCATGCCATTTACCTCTATCACACTGGAACCAGGTTTCTTCTTCATTCCGGCTTCCAAGATCATATTTCTGCCTCCTTTGCCTCAAATTCCCTGCCAGCTTCCTTGTACATATTATACGGAAGAAGATGAATGCCACAGTCCGCTACTTCCGTACCAGCAAGCTTTTTCCAAATTTGGTCCCCAACTTCAACATGCCCATGAACTCTACACGCTGCCGGTAATGCCCCCCACGCGTTGGCGTTCCCTCTTCCTAGTCCTCCCATCTTGTCCTCTACAAATTGGTCAGCTTCCTCCATGCCCGCTCTAGCCGAAAGGTCAACAATGCACGCATAGTGCTCAATCCTGGGTTTAACTCCGTTAAGGTTTCCATTTGATCAAACAATTCAAGGCCCCTGTCAACCATTTGATCAAACAGTTCAAGTGATTTCCTTGCATCCCCAATCATTGCAACTCGAGCGATCATACCATTCAACGCTCTAGCATCCTTATTAGGAATGCCCTCAAAACCCCGTAAAGTTGCTTCCACATATGCGCATTACGTGTACATATCAACGAGAGCAGTGGCCAATCTCGTGTTAAAATCAACATGGCACCTTTTAGCATTAGGAGTGCACCCACAGTCCTTATGTGACCGCACCGAGATATGAGCAGAGGTAATGACAAGTATAACAAGAACCGACTCATTATGCTTTGTGCCTATTTGCCTGAATAAAGAAAGCACCTCTCCGAAGTCGCTCACCTTAGAATACAGCCATCATTGCACTCTGTTTCTGTCAGGCATTTCGTCAAACAACTCGGGCATTCTAAACATCCCCTGCCTTCACATACGCGTCAATCATTGCCGTCCACACCACCACATCCCCTTCAGGACTTTTATCAAAAACCACCTTTGCAATTTACAAGCCGTGGATTACGGCATAAAACTCGATCAGCGAGCTAAGAACAAGAGTCGTCACCGTACCCGAATTGAACTACATGACCATGAACTCATCGACCGCTGAGCTTCAAATTTGGGCCGAGAATCGTGCACGCCACGGCCGGTCGTGAATTTTTTTAGACTCTGGGCGACACTGAAAAATATGCTCTAACATAACTTCACATAAAATAATTATTTATCTTAGTATTCGTATGTTGTACATCGAATATTAAAGAAAATAGACCTTTTTCACATTATGACTTTTTTGAAATGATAGGATAATTTACACTAAACTCATAAAAAATACGGTGAGGGAATTCAAAAACGAGTCCTTGAATGACAAGTTGAACACTTTTAACTAACTGATCTACAAGCTAGTTGCACATTATGAAACCTTTGAAATGAATTTTTCATATTTAAGATCTATAATTTCTACATGTAAGCAACAAATTGCTACCATCAAAGGGCACATAGTAATTCAACTATGTTTTTGTTTTTTGAGCACTCATGAAAAGTTGCAGTTCATTCTAAATATATAAAATCATAAGGAAAAAATTATACAAAAAAATGTAGGATGATATTTTTAGATTGCCAATAATAATACTTCGTTTAATAAAAAAATAATGACAACACAGTTTAATACTTAACCATGAAAAAATTATCAACAGATACAAAAAACCCAAATTTATATTTAGACAAACTTGAACATGATTTTGCGAGTAAATTCAAACTGAAAACAAAAAACCACTACTGAAAATGCCGCATTTAATAACCTAATTAATGTTTGTTTGTTATTTAAAGTAGACATGAAAAAAAAAAAAGAAAAAAAAAGGGAAACTACCCCTTTATGTTGAGAGAAGGAATTAAACTTGGGTGGGCACGGAAACATAAACCAAATAAAACGATCTTGTCATCTAAAACATATTACTATTTAATATGAGCATTTACTATATATGAAGAATAAAACAAACCCTCATACATATATGAACCAGCTTAATTTTTTTTGGTGCCCCTCGTTTTTTTGAGCCCCAAGAGGTCGCCTTGGTGCACGCTTTGATCAACGGCGGAAAAGCGTAGTTGTTCGGGACAAACCCATAATTCAGCATGTCCAAGTAGCACGAAATGGCAGGAACCAGCGAATGCGACTGAACGTATCCTCTGATCATGGTGTTGTAAATGAAGATGTTTCGGTGGTGCTCGAAAATTGTGCAAGCGTAGGAAAAGAAGGAAGCATCTTTGGAGGTTGCTGCGGCGGAGAGGAGCGACGTAATGGCGTATGGTTTTCGGGCAAACGACATGTGAGGATGTGGGCGTGGATTTTCTTGAGCTGGTTTAAGGTTTTGAATTATTGTGAGAGGGGAACAAGGTCGTTGCTCCCAATGGTTTTCTGAATAATTGGCGGGTAACCCTTGGGCAGTCCCCAGGTGGACTTTGGACATATGGGGGTATAACTTGATCAAAATGATCATGGGCGTGGGATTTTATGACTTTGTAAAGTCAAAGTATATTTCAAAAGTATTTTTATTGTGAACACAGAGAAGTTTTTATAAAGAGTTATATGTGTTTAGTAGTGAAAAAAAAAAAAACAATTCGGAAGTGCTTATAGGAAAAAATACTTGGAAGTGCTTTTTGAAAATTATATAGCATCTGCTTTTTTTAGAAAATATTTTCATAATCCATAAGTTTTTTTAAGTTTTTCTATTAGACATAGCCTGATGCGTTTTTATCGTCAAAATGCACTTTTAACCCTTCTAAAAGAAATCACTAGTATCTTCGAAACCTATCACGTAATTTACGTTTACGTACTTGGTTTGTTTGCCCCAAGAACAATGACTCTTTTTCTTAATGAACTACTCGTATCCATGACGAGGAAAATCGAACTTAATTGGAAAGGAACATATACATTATCCTAGTCAACTGACTTAACCAACACTTGCCGCTGAAAAGCAATGGTTGAATGTCACATTGTCTTTTTTAATCACCTGCTCATATTATATGTTTATATTCCATCAATTTGAAGCCAAATGCAATTAAAAATTGGAGATTATGTGGACTTTGTTCTGCTTGTTCCTATTTGTGAATTTACTTTTTGTTACTGCAGATAAAAGTAGTGGAGGTAAAACCAAACAACAATGAGAGATTCATATCATATGTTCACTCATCTGCAACCTTAATCATTTTCTTTCCGGTGTTATGACCCCGAAAAAGTCCAATGAAAGCAGATGGAAAACTCTCCAAACCACACGAGATGTCTTCAACTGCTTGCAAATTGCCCGTGCGAAGATGATCCACGGTGGTGGAGATAAAATCAAAGTACACATTCATGAGATCAGGTGCTAAAAACCCTTGGATCTTAATTCTCTTGTAAACAACGTCTAGCATATTTGGCGCAGCTCGCTTTCCGGCATCTGTGTACTCAGAAATCACGCCGCAGACAGCAACCCTACCGAAGGTGTTCATGTTCTCAACTGCTGCTTCCAGCATCTCAGCTCCCACATTGTCAAAATATATATCAATCCCATCCGGGAAGTACCTGAAGATCAAACCCAATTTAGTATTAACCCGTTTTTCGCTTCAAAACGATAGGATCAAAGAGAGGTTTACTTTTTGAGAGTTGACTTTAAATCAGGCTCTTCCTTGTAGTTGAAGGCATCATCGAATCCGAGCTTTCCCTTGAGCAATGTGACCTATAAAACAGAACATTCGGATCAATTTTCATGAACAGATTCCGATTGAACGTAGTGTACCTAAAAGAAAAGTTTTGTAAGGTCACCTTTTCTTTGCTTCCGGCACAGCCAACAACATAGCAACCGAAGAGTTTTGCGTACTGTCCGACCAAATTTCCAACCGATCCAGAAGCTGCAGATACGAAAACTTTCTCCCCCTTTTTAGGCTTGCACACTTCAAAAAATCCCCCATATGCTGTAAGTCCACTAAAACCTGTGACGTTCAAAATAACCAAATCAATCCAATTGTCAACGAATTACGTGATTCAAGGACACCGGGTGCCTCTATTTTTAAGGGTAAGAAGATATAAACATGAAAAATGCCTTGAACCAATATTGGAGTATCAATCGTCGCGACGATGAAGTAAAATTACCTAAAATTCCAACTTGATAAGAAAGTGGAAATCCAAAAGGATCAAATTTCCTAAACATGGTCCCTTTTTTTAGAACAGTGTACTCTCCCCAACTGATGAACCCCACAACCAAGTCATCCTTCTCAAACTCTGGATTCCCAGAAGCCACAACTTTTGCCACACCATAAGCATCAATTTCCTGCCATCACCATAAAAAAAAAATAGAAAAACTCAATTATGTTGAGACGGAAGCCGCTATTTACACTTAAAAATCACATTTTTACACTAAAAAATCAAACATGGTACTATTCACTTTACTATTTATTTTGTCCTTATTGTTAAAACTCAAAGTTTTCAAGCTCTTTTCATTAGTTTTCCATTTAATAAATAAAATAAGAGGCCCAAAATGTCTGTGTTTGAGTGCTAACAACATTTTCCTTTATGAATTTTGTAACAAATAAGTTTCAGAGCTTACATCTCCTGGGGCGACGGCAGCTGCATAATTTATGGTTTTGTGGGAGGAGTTGAACCTTTTCATGCGGTTGAGCTGGTACGGATCGATCGACACATAGAGATTTTTCACGATGACATCAGTGGAACCAGCGGAAACTGATAGAGTAAGGGGTGAAGTTTTGACCTCAAAGTCTGACTCTTTCGGTTCTCCGTCGTCGAGGGGGGATTTTATAGTAATGTACCTGTTGGTTACCTCCATTTTCAGCTGCCTCTTTGTGCAGGCAAAGCTCACTGGATATACATATATAGAGAGAGTGAGGGAAAGATGAGAGAAAGGAGGATAAGTTAAAGAAGAGAGTATTACAAAATTGGAATCATAACGTTGTAAGGAGCCACACAAATGGCTGATTCTCTATCGCTAACTACAGTACTTGGATATTCTCCCAAACAAAATACAAGTTGAAACCAATGTTTAAAATATCGGTATCGATATAAATATTGACTTGTAAATTTGTAGAAGGGAGACTTTGGATTCGGTCCCTATCCATGAATATTCTTTAACTAAAACCTTGTTGGTTTTTAATTTTTGATCCATGTCTTTAAAATTAATGTGATAATTTATCTCTATGTATGTTACTATATTTTCTAAATTAAAAATTGAAATTTATAGTTGTTTATATTAATGAGATTTTAAATAAAAAAACTATAATTTGTGGGGATTAAAAATATTAAAATATAAATATACTATTGTGTGTGTGTGTGTGCGCGCGTGTGTGTGTGTATAAACATGGGTACATTCATCAAAATTAACCAAAAAATTATTGTACCAAAACATGGGTACATTCTTCAAAATCACAAAAAACAAAAAAAAAAAAAACAAAACAAAAAAAAAGATATTAGGCTTAATAACAATAGTTAATTTCTTCGATTAAACTTGACATGGATCCATTTTCAAATCAAAGAAAAAAGAATGTACCCATATAAGTTTAAAAATGACTTAGAAAAAGATTGAATATATTTTATATAAAAAAAAATGGTACATTTTACATATAACAAATTGGTATATTTAAGAATGAGTAAATTTTAAGATTAAAATTTTGAAAACATTTTTTAAAAAAGCTAATGGGTACAAACTTATTCTAATTTATTTATTTATTTTGGAAATGTTTTGAATTGAAAATTAGTTAGGAGTTTAATAAAGGTGTGAGTATTAAAATTCTAAATCAATTATTAATTTTAAGTTTAAAAAATTATGTAACTGACATGTAAATTTATTATTACATTAATACTAGGGACTTGGAACAAAATCTAAAAACTAATAAGGTTTCAGTCAATGAACATTAGTAACTAAGGATCGAATACTAATTTTTCCTTTGTAGAAATATCAATGGATATATCGAATATCGGTTGCTTTCGATAGAAATGATGGAAATTTAGAATGAAACTATAGGGATTGACAAACATTAGTTTTGACGAAATATAACAGTTTCTCCGATATTTAACATATATGTCAGAAATATCGATAATATTTGCCGATTTTAGCCTAAACTTAAGAATTTATCCGATATAAGGTGAAGTTTAGACTTCACCCCTCATTTCTATATATGGGAAAATTTATTTAAACCCATGCAACCTCTTTTTACACCCACTTTAAAATTTAAATGTTAATTGTTTATTTTACCCTATTGCATAATTACTATTAAGTACAAAACGAAATTAATAATAAAACTCAAATTTATCAATAAACCCAAACACTATAATTAAACCATACGATCACTCTTTGCTTATCCTACGTTCATTATGGCTAAAACCTTAATAGCTCTCATAGAGAAAAATAAATTTTTTTTATTGTTGAATGATGATTTTGAAGTTTTGAATCTTCCAACCAAGGTATGAATCAATTTATGAATTTTTTGTTCATTTGAATTCAATTTTTTAGAGTTTAAAAGTTATTTTACTGTAATTTTTTTCAAAAGAGGATTTGACACCGCTTCTCCGCAGTGGAATTTGTAGTAAATTACTCCTTCAATTGAGAAGATTGAACTAATTAATTAAGTTTATAGAATAAATTTTTGCGATTTAAAAGGTTGAGGGGTTGTGTCACAACTCGTAGTATTTTTATAACCTATCAACTTGTAGTATTTTTATAACCTTTTATAAAATTACAGTAAAACAACTTGTGTGAATTTGCAGCTAAATTAAAAGGTTGAACTGGACATGTAGGTGGGGCCATAGCTCATTTAATTACCTGATGTAGTATTTTTTAAGAAAGAAATATAAAAACAAAACAAGCCTTGATTTTCCATAACGCTTTCTCTCATCAATGTGGGTATTCCTGTTCGAATTTCTCTATCCCACATCGGTCACATAGCTTGAGAATAAGCCATTTAAATAGAATTACCCAATTATAATTAATACCGAGGCATTTTGTATTAAAACTCCATACCTGATGGATTGAGCAGGTGGTAAAGTGGGAACAGTATGAATGTTGTTAGAGTGAGCCCTCGTCTTGTCTACCTGAAATTTAAGAATTCCGATTCTCCTGTGAATATATAGTCTTCTCCCTTCTTCTTGCTCAAGCTTTTCAAGCCATGGTCACAGATGTAAGTAAACATTCTGCCTGATGCCTGAAGGACTTACAATTCTTTCGAATTTCGAAATGTGTATTTGTTTGTTAATGCTTTTGTCAAGTTTGTTTCTTCTCTGTGTTCTTGGTTCAGTGTTTGACTAGGATTATAGGACTGATGAGAAATGAACTCAGTTTGCTGTCTGCAAATGTGGGTTAGACTAATTGGTCTGGGCAGTGCGTCCACCTCCCTGTACCTAAGTTCAAATCTCCTCCCCGTATTATAGTAGTTTAAGATATATGGTTTGCTTCTGGCTCTGGTTTTGGTCACAGGCTCATAGCTGCTGTTATTGGAATCGGTTTTGTTGAAAAAAATTATTATTTCTGGCTTAAGAAAGCAGAACTGGAGACATGCATGCTTGCTTTGTATGAGTTCAATTTCAAGGAGGAAGAAGAAGAAGAAAATAGTGTAATTAATCAATCTTAAGACTTAGTTTTAAAGAAATGGTGTTCAATATTCATCTGTCAGCTTGAAGAGATCATGATTGAAGCTCTTTAATTGCCAAAATTCAATGGTTCTATAACTTAACTCGGGAGAGACCAACAATTATAGATCCAATAGGTAGTACACTAGTTTGCATTGATGTACTAAACTCGGGAGAGACCAACAGTTATGGAACCAATAGGCAGTACACAGCTAGCTATACTAATAGCAAAAATAGTATTTGTCACGCCCCGATCCCGACATACGTCCAGGATTGACACATGACGTCACCAAATACTCGTCTCTAACATACCCCGCCTCCGGAAAAAGGTCAAACATAACTTAAGATCCGAATGCACAATTATTCTTCGTAAACTTTATGGCTGCATCTAACATCCTTGTTAGACTGCCTACGTACCCTAAATAGGGATCAAGCGATTCGTAGTTCATTACTTCAGTACATTCGAATATTCATCACATAAGTCGTTATGTCCCAACAAAATATCACAATGAATATCATGCAATCTTTCAAAGAACAAACAACAAAGCACAATCATATTCTCTCGCCATATTTATCAACAAGTCAGTCATAACAATAATAATGATATCCAACATAATAATCCCATAAGACGAGTAACATTTCCACTTCATCCATCACATGAATCATCACGTTCCCACATAAAATCACATTTCATAACGTGTAACATATTAAAGAATTAACAAAGCACAACATTATTCTCCAGAAATATTAATCAACTAAAATAATCATAATAACAACACTCATATCCAACGTCACTCCACAATCCCGTCAATTAATCAATTCGTGAATCAAGATGTACAATCTTAGCATTTAATTACGTTCATCAAGTAATGCGATAACAAAACATTTCACGAATTAACCAAGAAACTCTATATAATTCCCCACTTGGATTATGAGTAATAAACATGGTAATTTTAATTTATTTTCACAATATCTATTGTGGGTAGTTCCCATCCACTTGAATTTAGGATTCTAAGATCACCTTACGGAATGAACAATAGCAAGGATTACGGACCACTCAACGGAATCCAACAACATTAGGTTCCGGACCACTCAACGGAACCAAAATATGAAGCTGTTTCTCGTAATCTACCCAGACCTGTCATATGTAAAGTCAATGCCTACATTCTGGGATTGATGCACTGATAAATCAGGCATTCAGATAAGCTGCGAGGCTCGGGTGAGTGGCAATAATATAAGCATGTGATACAATAATAAAACCAGCCATCAATCACAATTTATAAACCTTTAATATAAATCATTCATAAGAAATCAATACCAAACTTCTGAAAACTTCGAAGGAGTCACCCAAACATCCAACGGTTTGCCTGGAACAATCACAACATCTCACAACCATATTATCATACACACAATGAAAAGTAGGGTTAGAGCGATACAGTTCGGCCGAAGCCTACGTCTTTGAAGCTATCTCAATTCAAACTCAATGAAACCCAAAGTGGATACGATCCTGGACCATCACTCAACGGAATCACGGAGTAAGAGAGATTCTGGACCATCACTCAACAGAATTCGAGTGGATACGATTCTGGACCATCACTTAATGGAATCGCGGAGTGGAGTAGGAAGGATTCCAGACCATCATTCAACGGAATCGCAGAGTGGAGTAGGAAGGATTCCGGACCATCACTCAACGGAATCGCGGAATGGAGTAGGAAGGATTCCGGACCATCACTCAACGAATCCAAACTAGGATACGATTCTGGACCATCACTCAACGGAATCCAAACTAGGATACGATTCCGGACCATCACTCAACGGAATCGCAGAGTACAATGCATAACAACCAATCAATGAAACAACACATGAATCAATTTACTCAAGTTAGAAAGGCTCAACGAAACAAGAAATGAAAGAATGAAACGAGGGATGAAACATGTTTCGAAGCAACAAACCCCATGACAATGGGTTAACGGTCCATCACTAGCCCTCACATTTCATCAAATCAAGCCAATCATACAAAACAAACCATATTTCCAATATGCACGTCAAATCCCACTTCATAAAACTACCTCGATGGCTAAATATAAAAATTAACAATTTATACGAAACATAATTATAAAACCATTTCATATTCACATATATTAAAGTCACTCACATTTCATCATATCATACCATCTATGCAAATCAACCAACTTTCAAATATGCACGTCAAAACACATATCACAATCATCATCAGTACACAAGCCAAATCATGTTTAATAAACATAGGTCTATGGCTAAATATATACATACATACATACATATATATATATATATAATCACCTTTCAATAGA